TTTAACAAAAATAAAAAAAATTAGACCCGCGATCAAAAAAGGTTGCCGACCACTGGTCTACTCTTTTACCAACGAACAGTGGGATTGACCATCACATTATAACGCCTCCACGACTGAAAAGGCGAGCATATTTGGTGATGTGGTTCGAACCCACGACCCGCAGATTGCAAGTCGAGCACTCTAACCACCAGGCCAAACGTAAATGTACCATTGCACAATTAGCTATTAGAAATATTAGGTTTTCATGTGAACTAGCACGCATACACGCACAGACTGAGTGACACGCATTGTTCTTTTAATTACATAGATATTACACAACCGTCTTGTTAATTTTAACACATAAATGAAAGAGAAGAAAACATCTCCCTACATTTGATGGTATTTTAAAACAAGGTTCAAAACAAAAATCGCCGCACAAAAAGGCAGATAGGTTTGGAAATATAGTTGAAATCTGATTGGCGTTGTATTCCAACCGATGTGCCAGATCTATTTCTTCAATTATCTTTATTACGAAGTGTAACTGTATTTTTCTGCATTTCATGAGCGACAATTTCAGTTTTTGGCTTTGTCTACGCGCTTGTGTGTGTGTGTTGTATATATATATTATTTAAACTGTGTTAAGGTTTACTTAAACATGTAAGTAAGCTGATGAAATAAACAAGGAACAAGATCAAATTAGTTTTGTTTCAACAGTACGATTAACATCATAAAATCTGGCACAACATTCAGCTTTGTTTCAACAGTAAGATTAACATAATAAAATATGGCACAACGTTCACTTTTATTATAACAGTACGGTTAACATCATGAAATTTGGCATAACATTCATTTTTATTTTAACAGTACGATTAACATCATAAAATCTGGCACAACGTTCAGTTTTGTTTCAACAGTACGATTAAAATCATAACGTCTGACACAACGTTCAGGCAATAGGTTGACGTAGAAGGTAATTCAGATTTGACCTTGTAATCTTTAGTCCAATACTAATAAAGTGATAAGTTTGATTATTTGTTTGTTTGTTTGTAGTTAAACACAAGTTACACAATGGGATATCTGTGCTGTGCCTACCACGGCTATCGAAACCGGGTTTCTAGCGTTGTAAGTCCGCAGACATACCGAAGTTTGATGATAGAAAATGTGTTAATCAAAGGATTAAAAAACGTGTTGCTGTTGACTGAGGGGCAACTTTAATGATGCGAAAACGCTCTCATTATTGAAATAAAAATTTAATACCGAGCGTATGCATCTTTATTTTATTGTCTTATATGTACACACACATACCCCCGGCGGCAAGTCTGAGGGTTTATAACGCTAAAAAATCAGGTTCCGATACAAGCGGTGAGTAGAGCACAGATAGCCCTTTTTTGCAGATTTGAGCTTAACAACAAACAATACACACACACACACACACACACACACAATATATATATATATATAATTATTAATTTTATGGGTTGCTTGGATTTAAACTATATAATTAATATAGCATAGAAAAAAATACTTAGTTACAATAGTTAATTCAGTTTTGGTGAGCGTGCTAGTGACCCAGTGCTGTTTCAACAATAAAGTGATAACAATTTCCTGTGTTGTATAGGCAAGAGGATTTATCTCAAGGATATATCCAGGAGTTATCTATGCGAGTGTTTAAAGCAGGTGGATTCGTGGTTATAACAATGTTTACAGTATTCCATAGGTAAACATTATTACAACACACCTGAGGTCGATTCTCATTTTCAAACACTATTTGTATTCTTTTAATGAACTAAAATTAGTTTTAAAAAACTGATGCTACCGTTAAACAAACAAAAAAATGCGAGCAAAGCACCCAAAACAAGTACAAGCGAATAAAGAACAAAAAATACCGCTATTATTATCAGCTGCATATTTAACCAAACGGTATTATGTTCGTTCATTGTTTGATAGACATTCACTTTTAACCCTTCGTTCAAGCTTTGAAGTCGATATACACAACTCAGAACAAATAAAAATATCTTAGACAAAAAAAAAGAAATATCACTTTATTTTCTTTTTAACTTCGTTTGTTTGTTCATATTTCTTATGTAAGATTCATTGTCCAAAGTCTGATATTTTCTATATATACAATTCTATTATAACATCTGAAAAGTTCTTACCTTGAAATTCGTCTCTCAGAGAATGAGGCGATGCAAGCTGCAAATCATAGCTGAATGATGCCACCTCTTTATGCAGTCCTTTACTTGTTTGCTCCGCTTCCACGTAAAGAGCCACCTTGCCGAGGTACGAAGTAAAGCATCGAAATAGCTCTGGATGCTTTCCATCAGTTTTCGTAAAAAGAGAGTGTAATTTCCTGTGCCCTTCAACATAAATATTAGCTCCACTAAATTGGGCGTCCGTTCGAAGACAACCGAAGAAATCACGACCAGAAAAACCATGGCGTAGCACTAATCGCAGCGCTCCTCGCGGGTATTGCCACTGAATTCTACCTTGACCACACCGGAGATAAACTGATTGAACTTCTCTTTCTTCTTGAAGTAATCCGCTAGGAAAAACACAATTCAATTTTTTTTAAATAAGATTAACGTTAAAAATAAAACCAATACATTTTATTTTTTAGGGTAAACATTACACTTAACTCTCTACCATTAAATGAATGTTAAGTTTTCAATTTTAAACATCTACTATGAACTTATGAAGCATATACTTAAATTTATTAGGAAGTATATCAACCAATCATGGTGTTCAACTCAATTTTAGGAGTCGATGACTATGGTTCACCACTGTTTTCTATTCCTCGTTACCTGCATCAACTTTTCTAATTCGAGCTTATTTCCAAGCCTTTTTCTAGCGTCATCAAGGAAAGTATGTTTCTGCCTGTCTCTCGCTCCTCTTCCCTTGATTTTACTCATCAGAATCTCCGAACACTTTTCTCTAGATCTAATTATATATTCAAAGTATCAAATATTCCGGTCTCTTCACATATCCAACAGTTGTCTTTGCACGTTCCAATACTTCCTCATTAATTTTTGTTATGTAGCTGATCGTCATCATTCGACTATAACACCCCGTCTCAGGCGCTTCCAACTGTGCTGATAGACAAGGTCCAACTTTACACACTCGTAGAGTAGGACTGACCATACCAACATTTGAGAACTCTCTTCTTCAATTCTTGTTTACATGTTACCCGAATAATTCTTTGAGATTCTCTGGTAGCATTCTGTACGACAGACTGGCCAAGGGTAGCAGGTTTACAGGGAATGTCTAATCATCATAATGCACGTTACATAGCTTGGTTATTATGTAGCCTTTATTTTGCTTCATTTTGCCTTACGTTTTTCTATAACGTTCAAAACATACTTACCACGCAGCATATGAAAGTTGAAAGACCCGTATGTGTCATTCATCCGGTCTTCTGCTAATAACATTAAACAGTGGCACACTTAACTCCACAATATATATTTATACAATATTGAAATTAATTAAGACTAATATCAACGTCGTTGATGCTTGATCGACCATCAGTGTACCGTAATCCAGGAATCTGGTCAAAACATCAGCATTGATACTAGACTTAACAATATTTCTTTTCTGTCGGTTTGAATTTCTTGTCCATTAGTAAACTGGATGGTTGAGAGAGGAGGAGAAGGAATATTTTGTAAAACCAGTTCCTAAGAAAGTAGTAAACTGACAATTTACAAAATGAACATTGCCTACATATTTAGCACAACTTTTGAGACATTCATTTTTTTACATTTTTCCCACAAAGCCTTTTATCCATGTGATGCAAGTTTGCATTGTTGGAAAGTGTTACAGTGTTACCTTTTATATCATATAATTTTTCTGGGTTGCATTCTTAGTTGCATAACTAATAGGAGCTTACCATTCGACAAGTCATAGTATAGTTTTAGAATATATGAATAAAAACACATGTATAATCGTAAACTGTTTAATAACATAATAAAATTCAAATGATTAAAATTATTTATGAGATGCAACACTGGATTAAATTTTGCCGAGAGTTACGGAATACAAAAATTCTAGGATTAATAAATATCTACATTAACATATTCGCCATTTATCAAATTGTTGCTTCTTTACGACAAAAAAAAAAGAAAGAAATGTAATTTTACAATGTTTGAAATAAAAAAATTAATAATTCGCTCTTGATACAGAAAGGCTTAGCCATTCGTAAGTCGGCGGTAAAATTTCTGGCTTCTTACAGCTTTTTAATATCCAGACTTTGATTTCCTGCAATAATCAGACCGCAGGTGTAGCTTTCGTACTAATCAAGCAGTGTACATTTGTAGTGATTAAGTACACGTAAAACACAATAAACATACCGTTTCTGTTGTGAGATTTGCTTTAGTGTCTGTAAAGTTGAGAACACCAATAAAGAATAAATGTTGAAACAACCGAAAGGTATAATAGGGCACGAGGACGAGGCTGTGTGCGTTTTGTTCGAGCGTGATGCCAAGCTGATAGCTGAGTTGTTTAAGTTCATGGCTAGTATCTAAACCTGGGTAACGAATAGTTGGTTCTGCTGTCACTCCGTACAAAGCAGCTTGACAAACTTTGTTAACTATGCAGGGCATTCCTTTGACAAATCCGATTGATAAGAAATCCACTTTTTTTTTGAGGTTACCTGCATATTAATTTCATTCAGCATCATGCCACCTTTTTAGCATATTTTGTACAGTAGCTCTAATACAGAGAAAGAAATGAAAAAACAAACTGGATGAAACAAGATTTTCCTGAAAATGGCTTATTCACATTGGACTGGTTTTAAACAACATACCATTTAGTGACAAGCGGTAAGTCTTCGAACTTACAAGCTAAAATTAGGGGTTCGATTCCCCTCGGTGGACACAGCAGATAACCTGATGTGGCTTTGCTATAAGAAAAAAACACACACACACAAAATACTGAAAATAGTTTTTAGTTA